CTACAATGTATCTATACGTGAAGTTTAATAGCCATCAAATATCGTCTATTCTCATTTTTTTTTATTAACAGATTATTTAATTTTAAGCGTACTTAAAAATGATAAAGTGTAAGAATTAATTCTATGTCTCTACACACTTTGTTTTTAGAACCACATGTACTCTTCCATGTAGAATATACAACTGAGAGAAAATTAAAAGTTGTACGATTTTTCTTTAGAAATAAATGTTAAATTTACTTTAGATAAAAGAATCAGTTTCTACATTTAATACACACAGTTGGATTATCACTTGCTAGAACACGAGACTCGACGAGCACATATTCCCGATCGATCCTGCAAATAGAGAGGCAGCGAATGCATCAGCTGTTGCGGCACGGTTTCGTCATATGGCGTGGTTATTACGCGACGCGCCACTTAGAAAGTTTGCACGCCGTTGGAAGAACGACAATACTCGGTAAATGGGACATGGGCGAACGAGGAGGTTCGTGAAACACGCGTGGAACATCTGTCCCGCAAAATAGGGCTGAAACCAATTTCGATATCGACACCATGGGCTTCTTCCTTGCGGGAGAAGTTGTGGTTGATCGTTTGCGGTTCTTAGTGCACGCGTGTGGCTGGTTATGGTTGCCTCGCAGCGTCTGCAGTACGTGCAACTGTGCTTCAGTGTTGGGCGTTGAGGTAGGCTGTAAGACGTGCTGCTTAGAAAGGAAGGCAAGGGAAATTTAATTCCTGTTTAACTAATGAGGATTGTCTTGAAGGAGGTCTTGAATTATTATGACATGGCGTGGAAGAATAGAGTTACTCGTTAAGAGATTCGAGGAGGGTGGATTTTTATTGTATATTGATCTGTTTGGATCCTTTTAATGGGGCTTTGCGCCATGCCTCATAAAGGAGGGATGACGGACTGTTAGATCTCGTTACCAAAAAGTAGGTACAATAAGTGGTGGGGATGACTGTGCGGCTCTTAGACAGCAGATCTTATTCAAAGGGTATGGCTTAAGCTTAGAAGACTCAGTAAGCAATTTCTCGGAAGAGACCTCTGTTAACATCTCTCTACTGGAGAATAATGGTATCGATCAAATGAGTCATGTCTACTATTAAATACCTACCACTGTTTACAAGCTAGTTACACCTCTCCCTTCTACAGATCAACCAAACACCACTCGTACCTTGACTCTATAGAATATAAATTCATCCTACATGGATAAGAACTCATTCCCGACCAAGTGCCAAAAAATGCCCAATTTTCAACCCTACCTCAAATCTACCCCTAAATCCAATGTCTCTTCAACGAGATTCGTCCCAAAAAGGGCGATGACCCGATTCGTCCGTCTCATTAGATGTTCTCCGTGAAAGGGACGACGAAAGACATCGTTGGCGTGGGTCAGTAGACAGGACAGGAAGGCCAGCGTGATATTCGATACGAGGGATCGCGTGCACGGGGTGGCCAGTGCCACCCTAACGTGGCACGTGGGGCGCTACCAGGTGTTGCCTAGACGTCGGGTCGATGCCGATCGTTGGCGCATGTGCGACCTCCCTTCCCCCCGTTCCTACCCTCCTGCAACACTCACCAAACCCTCGCGAACCTTTGCGTCCCTCCACCTAGCCGACATTCTCGTTTCTGGCTCCTCCACCCTCGACTTTCCCCCTTTTCTCGTTGAAGGGGCAGATAGGAGTTTGGCCCCTCCGCGTTCGCCCCAACGTGTGCCGTCATCCCCCCTAACCCATCGTCAGCCGTCATCCCCCGCCTAGAACGTCTACCAACACCGACAACGCGTTACCAACAAGTCCGCGTCGCGTATCGGCGACACAGCGTCACCACTATGCAGCCAATCTTCCATAGGAATTACCATCGACCTCCCCCTCGGGAGTTTACACACTCGGCGAGGCCAGGAACGAGGACGGTGCCCGTGGCACCCCAGCCAGCTGTTCCCTCTTCCGTTCCCGATGTCTACATTCGACACGGCGGCCGACCAACGCCACGAGGGCTGTCGCGCGTCCTTGTCCGAGGCAGGTGTTTTCAGGAATTCAAGCCTCGGACGCCGTTTACCTTGGGTAACGGGGATAGGAGTTCGTTTACATTCGCTGGATGCAGAGGTTGGAATTTTAGGGCGCGAGGAGTTTGGAACGGTGGGGAGTTTTGAAGGGAAGGGTGGACGAGGACAGGATAGAAGTTGACAAGAGTTTGGTTTGGAAGCTTCAAATGCTGAAATTGTATAATTGTAGACCTTCAGTGGGAACTCTATGTAGATCACGAGGTACCCATTGGTTTGAAATTTTCGATCCGAGTTCAACAGTTGTCCTTAAATTATAACAAGTGAGATATTCCTATAAGCAAAGTTAATATTTTTCTCTTTTCCAAAAAGGATAGAATTAAAGAATTTATCAAAATCTAGATCGAACCACGTTATACTTCTTCAACTTTAAATTTAATAACCTGAATATTTATATTAGCAAAAAAACTTGAAGAGTTTAGAAATAATCAAGAGAAGCTATACCCTCATCTTGCGATTTATTTCTTTCACTTTTCGTTCGTTGGTTTTAAATAATTATGCTTTCGCTCGTGTTGTAATAGCGACCAGCTGTTCCCTCTTCCGTTCTCGATATCTACATTCGACACGGGCTACGACCACCGCCACGAGGGTTGCGTCGTGCATCCTTGTCCGATCGGTTCGCAGGGGTTCGATAGCCTCTATCCGCTATGGGTCGATTTGAACCGCCTCGATCCGAATTTTGCGGACCAGCTCATGGGACACTGTCGACCGTCCAGTTGAAACTGATCGAAATTTTTGCGATTCGCTGCTCGATCCTCCCAACGAAATTTCCAATGGAAATTTTTCCGATGAAACGGTTCCATGAAGATGTAGAAACCGTTGATAAGCATCTTTCAATGGATACTTTAAATATAACAGGATGCTTCCGCAGTGACTGTCAGATTTAAACAAGCATTTGTACAACGATAAAACTTGAAATGCTGAAGACTATGATGTATAATTCTGGTGATTCCAGTTAATAATTTGACAAGATATTTGAAGATTGAGAAGTTGCAGAGAGGAACTTATGAGACTTGAATCTTGAATATCCTAGAAATTGTTAATTGGAAGCATCCAGCGTCACGTGCCATTATTTTGGCATTTCAAGCTCTATCATAACGCAAGAGCTCATTTAAATGTCGGCGCTCCCATTGGGGAAGTCTCCTCGCAAGTGTGCGAGTGCGGCTTGTGTCCGGGGAAGGAGAGGATCGCTCTTATGGCATACACTCTCGTCGTCGGGACGCAGCGGTGTTGCCAAACGGGACATCCCTTCCTTTCAAGAATTTTCCTATTGATATCTCTTGTCATTATTCTAAAATTTGTTCAAAAATTGAATACCATCGATGTTCCATACATAGGAGACACCATACCAAATTCCATTTTCAATTCAGAGCAGCTCAAAACGCAAAGAATCCAACACTCGCCACCAAAAATTTACAACCCCCAGAACTTCGATCATTCCCATCTCAGGGTCATCTTGAAACTCAAAGAACTCAAAGAACCCAAAGAACCCAACATTAACTTCCATCCATATTTCCTCTACAACCCCCGAAACAATACCCACTTATTTTAAACTAAAAAGCGACCCAAAACGCTAAAATCTCGGTCGTCTCAGGGCCCGACGTCAGGGAAAGCCGTCGAAGCAACTGTTACGCCGTGCCAGAAAACGAGCGTTTGATTCGGTGCCAGCGAACTTTGCCCGCGCCAATGGCGATGCACGCGCGCACACACATCTGCGCGGTTGTGTACGGTGCACGCACACAATCGAAAGGCCTGCAGGAATCGAGAACTGGCATCGGCACCCTCGAGGGGTTGCGCAGCCATCCCTCGCTTCGGCACGAACCATCACCAGCAGCAGCGGCGGCGAGCGACGATGGCGGCAACAGCAGCGCCACCCCACAATGCTGACCCAAGGGGAGCCGCAGCGGAGGGACGACGGGGGTTCCTGGCTCCGCGAAAGTCAGACGGGGATGGTCCGCGGATCGTTCGCGAGCAACGAGGACGCCGGAGAACGTAAGGTGGGGGATAAGCAGCGGAGCAGCAGCGCCACCGACTAAACAGTCGCACCCCGTCGTCGTGATCGTATTCGAGGGCACCCCCTGTCACAGGCGAGAGCCGCGACAGGGAGCGACCGAGAGAGTATCGGACGGACGGACGGACGGACGGACAGACGGATGGACGGACGGACGGTCAGTCAGTCAGTCAGTCGGTCGGTCCACACAGTCAGCCAGCCAGCGAAGTCAGTCGCGTGAGGAACGTTACGTGGTGGAGGATCGAAGAAACGAGCGAGCAGACCACGAGCAACCGCGTCCGAAAAGGAAGAGAAAGGCGACGATACGAGACAGTTAGTAGCCCCTCCAGCAGTAGTAGAGTAGTTTCTAGTAGTAGTCGAGCGTGCGGGGTAATAATCACGAGGGGCGAGGCCGGAAAAGTCGAGGAGGTGTCTCTATCGCGCGAACAGGCTGGCATGGTGGTGGTGCATCCTACGAAGGAGCTGCCCTCGCCGTGCCGATGACGAGGCTGCAGATCACGCCCCAACGTGAGCAAGGAAGGACGAAGAGGAAGCCGCGGCAGGCACCGTCCACGGACACCCTGATCGTCAGGGAGGTGAACAGGCTACAGATACGCACGGCGCTGCTGGGCGACGGACGGCGGCGACGGAGACGACGGCGTCGCGTGATCGCGTACGACGTCGTCGACGGCTGGCGGAACGGGCAACTCGGGGGCCACACCGGCGACAGTGGTGCCGGCGGCGGTCTAGGCGTCGCGGTAGTCAACGTCCTCGAGATCGTCGATCGGTACGGTGGTGCTGCGTTTGGTGCGGTTGGTGAGGGTGTCGGTGGTGGTGTAGCAGCGACGCCAGAGGCGGCGTTTCGTGACAGGGATACTTCGTCGAGATCGCCGTGCGATCGGCTCCTGGTGATCGTTGGTGATCGGGACGAGGTGGTTCGCGGCAAGGCTACGGGACAACTGCGCCAGCATGCCGCGGTGCCTCATGGCCAAGAAATGGAAGGCCTATCCGTGGCCGGATCGCGTCGAGGACCCGCAGGAGGAGCAGGCCGATCCCACGGGTCTCGTGCAGGAACACACGCAGGAGAACCATGAGATTCAGACGAGTGCCTCCTTGGAGAAGAGGCAGCACAGGCATGAACCGGAGGACGAGGAGATCGACGTCGTCGGGGACACCGACAGCAGACAGGTCGACCATCAGCAGACCTGTTGGGGACCTCACAGTCCTACCGCAGGTGCAACTGCACCCAGTCCGCCACCGCTCAACGCCTCCGGTGCTCTCTACTATCATGGTGAGTACGCGATATCGACCAACCGACACGACACCTTAATCTCTCGAACCCCTGATGCCTGGTGCCTGATAGCTTCCCTCTCAAAAGCGAGGCTCCCTCCACGCTTTGATCTAGCAAGGCTCTTCCGCGTGGAAATCTCTCAAACGGAAAGCATAAGACAATCGCTGGCTAAAACCTCTCCATTCCCTAACCGTAATAGAAAGTTCCACGTGCATCTCCTCGTAATACAGGAAATTGCAACCCCGAATATCGAGGGTGGTCAAGGTCCCTTCTATTTGCATCTCGTGCCACGCCCTAGTTTGTCCAGTTCCGACTAATCCCGCGCTATCGCGAAAAGAAAACGTCGGAGTAGATATCCAGTGGACTTTTACCCCTCGAGGGAGATTCGACCTTCGCCCAAGCGGAGTCTGGCCATGCGTCGAGCCACGGGGGCGACACACCCGCCGATTGGCCGATCGGCTGTGCTATAGAGAAATTGCGGTAGTCGACGATAACAAGGCTCCCCCCTTAGGCCCCTCGGGAGCTTCATCCAGCGGAATATCGTCGCGGATAAACGCGTGTCCTTCCTTTTCTGGCGGGCGTTAATGATTTTCCTCGTTTCGGCGGCGATCGCGCGACGGATTGCTGCCATGCGTCGCACGCACACCAGCACAGCGGCACACCCGTCGTGTGTCGGGCCGATCGTTGATTTTACTGCGGATCTTTCGGGTGGATCGAAGCGAAAGGGGAGGAATGATCCCTTCTTTCTATCTCTCGGCCCATTTAGGTCACGCTCCTTTGACGAACAAAGCGTTCGTGAGTTTTTTTTTTTCTTCTGTACGTCGCCTGGAACTGCTTTCCGCTTGCACGTTTTGCAATCTCTGCGCCTCCGCGAAAACGGGGACGCGGAGATTTCGAAGTCGACGCTCCAGCTTTCGACGGTTTTGTTTCGTTTCCCCCACCTCGTCGTCCCCCCACCGCGAATACGTTGCGGCTGTTGCATGCAATTAGAGTCTCGCCATTTTATTGGCGTCTTTTGGAGAGTCGTGGATCTGGGGTGTTTTGGGGTAGGGGTGCTAGAGATAGGTTTTCTGGCTTGTTTGTTGATGCTAGATCTATTTTTTGGGTAATTCTTGATGGTGCTTTTTTGGGGGGGGGGGGGTGTTGGGAGGGTTTAGAAAATGTGTAGTGTTCTACGAGTTGGCAAGGGGTTGTGTTATTTTGATAGATAATTGAATGCTTTTGCTAATTAGATTGCTTGTAAGCTTCAGATTTTACATTTTATGAAGATATTGATTTGATGAAGGCTACTAAATGATTGGCTTGAAGTATTAGATGCCCAATTGTCTATTGTCTCCAAAAATGGAGAAAATTTGTGCTCTATGAAGTGAGTAATAGACAAATAAAATATTGATGATCCAAAACTCCCAGTCAAGACGTTTAGAATCTTTAATATCCTACGTTAGTTCTTAAATTACCAGATAAGAATAAATAGCTGGCAGGTGTTTTAGGAAATTCGATTTTAAATGACGATTACTTTGGGATTGAAGTCCGCTATTTCAAGGGGAATTTGAAAATCATGCATCAAGAAATCCTTTCGTCTCCCATTTGGGTCAAGTTCCTACGAAAGAGCAGCGGTGCTCGCGATTCTTTTAGAATCGCTTTCAGCCCTGTCGTTTATGAATCGAAAACAAAAGTCTCGTTTTAAACGATTACTGCTTTAAAAAACTGAAAATCTGGAAAGTTTCCGTTTCGTTGAAAATTGGGTAAACTGTTTCTTTAAAGTTTATGCACGATACTGTTAGTAAGCTAACAGAAATTCATTGGTGTAATCCGCAAAATTTAATTGAATCCCACCTACTCGAAACTTCTACTATTTTTCTTTTTTCCGAAAGGAAAAACGTGGCAAGAAAGTTCACAGGTTGAACGAAACAGAAAAGGTTTCATTTTTCTGTTCAGAGGGATACAGAAGGAATAATTTATTGCAAGCTAGTGGATTCCGATCAATCGATACGGAGGTTTATTGCCAGCGATTGGAACGATATCAGCCAGCATTGAAAACAAAACTCAACAAGAAATTTGCGTCTTCCTTCAACGATAACGTTCGACCACGTGTGACAGATCTACAGCTGGCAAAAATTAATTAAACACGAGTGAACGAAGGCTGAGATCCACACGCGATTAACTTGAATTAGCATGAATTATCCAAACACTGATTAATTCAGATGGAAGTAAATGAATGGATCGCTTTCGTTGTTCTTCGAATATGTCTTCATCGGGTTATGACTTATTCAAGAGTTTGCAAAACCATTTCGCTGAAATCAGGTTGAGAAATGCTGATGCAGTTGGAAAATGCTCCACTGCACTTTGATGACAAGTAAAGTATGACAGAAAATGAGAATACTGGTGAGTGAGAAACTATATAGAATAATAAACATAATTTACTTTGATCTAATATAAGTTTTGGATAATCTAGTTCAAAAAGGGAATACTATTAGTAGAGAACCGTACTAGCACGGCTCAGGGGATGATTTGCTATGATCAATCGATGATTTGAAAAATAATACGTCTTCCAGTTCCCACGTTGAATTACGATGCGAGATTGCCTAGATTTGGAGTACGTGTTGAATGCGTTCCACATGTTGATTTATGTCAATGAGCACGGAAGTCGTGTGCCCCGTTCCATGGTCGAGTTCAAAGAAATTGAATATATCACTCTTCTTTTATTTACTTCCCCGCAACAGTTAAGAAGATTGGTTAGATTGAGCCTCCATTACTGGGTGATATTTGAGAATTTTTTGGGGAGTAGGGCACTCGACCCACCGATTTGAAATGTAGTGTACATATTCATTTATGTTCTGTCAAGCTGTGGGAATTTTGTCGAGTATGAATAATTAATTTTGGTGAAGTAATTGTACATGATATACACACGACAACTTATTAACTCAAAGGAAATATTACGTAAGTGATTGTTTGACACGCTTTTTATAGATGGAAAATTGAGAAAATGTAGAATTATTCTATATTCTCAATAAAGAATTATTTAAAATTTTTGATTCTGCCAGTTCAACCCCTTTCGCATTGTATATATTCACCCGTTCTCATATTATATTTCTTCCATTCTACCATTTGTATAAACTACTAAAATAATAAATTAAATATCGAAGAGAATCAAGAAACACAAACGTTTTCAATCGAATGTACAAAAATAGCGAAGAAAGCCACCCCTTTTACCGAGTCTTCCAATCCAAGGTTCGCGTTACGTAACCACGGCATTTCAACTAATCGCGTCATACTAAATTGTTGCGAAAATCGTACGAGAGCTGTTGTTAATTGAATTTCGTTATCGATTGTAACGCCTGACAAGTCGGGTCCTTAACATGGCGAGAAGTGTTACGTAACACGTGCGCTTCTGCGGCAGCGTGGGCGAAGCTCCGCGGAATTTATGAAAATTAAAGCACTTGTTCGATACTTCTTATCGGGCCGTTTACATAAATACGTATGAATCATCCTGGGTGCTTGTTGAAACACGTGTTTATTGATGGGGAATTTTCAAGCTTTTTTTCAATAATCGTGAATACGATCGGCTTCGATACAATCGTTTGCTGTAATATTTTTATTTTCATTGTATACGCGTATTATTTATGTTCTATTTTAATTTTTTATTCTTTTTTTGTTTTACTCTTTATGCTACAATTAGCCTTTACAAGCTTATTATTATTTTAGGTCTGCAGATATTTATGCAAATTTATATTTACGCGATAATGGTGTGTAAATAATTAAAAAATATGTAAACGATATACTATGTATACTATTGCCAATATTTTATATATTTTTGAATTAATGCGCATACATATTTCTTCACATTTTATGATATATATTATCATTTTATGAATGATGTGCACAAAGAACGTGTAATTTAGGCATGCTATAATTCTGTTTTGTAGAAGTCGTCGCAGAGAGATCAGAATTCAGGTCGAAAATATGTAACAACGACGTGGCATCGATTAAACGGCTTCCCTTTGCTGTAATTCCATCATGAATAACGAATTGCGTTTTCCTCGTGGTCACGTAACGCTTTAATGTTCCGTCTGTTCTTCGCGCCCAGCTGATCCTCTCCAATATTTTTATTTCTACGTGGCTCTTTCAATTAATTAACAACGCGCCCGCGATCCCCTCTTTTATTAAAAATTCAGGGCCACGTATTAAAACTGTAATTACACTTTCTACCGTTAAAAAAGAACACACATATTCCTTCACAAGTTTTCCTCGACGCAAGAATTAGACTAATTCGACGAATTACTTCGAATTGCAATAATAAATTTGGAAAGTCCCGCCTCCGAGTGACAAAATCAGTGCCATCGATCGCGGAAGATATACAGCAAGCCCCGCTTTCAAGTGACAACATCGATGGATTGCGAACAATCCACCGTAAAGTTCGCTTTCAAGTGAGAAAATCAGCACGATCAATCTCACAGCGAAAAGGATCAGAACGTTCAGTTTACTTGGAAGCGGGTTCCCTGACGATTTTTATTTTTGTTTCAACGCTGTTTCGCGTATCATAAACATCGATAACGTGGAACACGATTCCTTTGCTCCAATTTAGCGTAAAAATTGTCCAATAAAAATGACGTAATATTTATCTTTGTACCGATTCACTCTTGTCTCTCGGGTATTTTATTGATACTCGGGTACAAGTTCCACGCAAACTTGCTGCTTGTTGTGGTTCGAAACGATTGGCGATCAACAATCTCGGTAGACCTTATCGTCAAACTTTAAGAGGTTCGAATTTGGTGTAAATATAAACTGTCACTTGAAAGCGGGGCAGCAGGAACCCACCAAACAGTGGAAATGGTCTTGTCCCTCGTTTATTGATACTCTACTGCTCTGCTCGCGTCGTTGTCCTCGAAACGATTCGCGAGAAACAATCTCAAAAGATCTTAGCGTTGCCTTTTGAAAGGCTCGAATTTAGTGTAAAAATTGTCACTTGAAAGCGGGGCACCAGGAACCCTCCAGACAGTGGAAACGGTAATATTTATCCTCGTAGCAAGTCGCACTTGTCCCTCGGTTATTGATACCCGGGTACAAGCTCCACGCAGACTCGCTGTTCGCTGTCGTTCGAAACGATTGGCGAACAACAATGGCAAAAGACCTTAGCGTCGCCCTTTGAAAGGCTAGAATCAACAGACTCGTGGGAGCGTGCAGAGCGTTCATTCGACATTATTGATTCTCACCCTCACCCCTGTCCCCTCCCCTTTGTCTTTTCACCGCACTCCACCCACCTCCTCTCTCAGTCCCTCTCTCTTCCTCTCTCTTTCTCTCTCTCTTTCTCCCGTTGATGAAATGCACTTTCAGACACGGCCACTCTCCTTTCCCTCTGTGTTGACTATCTTTTATTTCAGCCAATAATAGATGCGCGTCGGTTGATCGATCGTCAGCACAGTTTCCTGATTTATTGCTGTCACGCGTCAACCCCTACCACTCCCTTCGTGGACAACCGATCCGAGGGAACATCTCCCCCGTAGCGATTCGTCGAACCGGTTTCGTTCTGTTCGATGATCGTCGCGATCATCCGATCCCCGTGTCACCAGAAAACGGATGTCCGTCCTCCAGGACAACGGGGGGTCCTGATCGAGCTTCATCGCGATAAACTGTACAAATACTGGCGCATATACACACGGTCGTCTTGACGTCATAGAGGTTTAGGTCTGGGTTAGGTGGTCTTCTGGTTGGTGGAATGACGTTGGTGGATGAGGTTCGAGAGTTGTGCTGATGGAGAGATGAAATCTCAGGAGTACTCGATTTTTGTATAATTTAAATAGGGGTTTGCGACACTTAAGAGACACTGATGGAGACTTAAGAGGTACTTAAAGTATAGAAAATTTAGGCTGGGGTCTGAGGACACTGATGAGACCTAAGAGGTGCCTAATATATGTATATACAGTTTAGGCAAGGGTTTGGATCGCCTGGAAGCCATTGGTGGCTGTTATACAATGTTTAATTGAGATGAGACCTACGGACTTATTTGGCGATTCACACACTAAACTAGCATTCACGATTTATGAATGACAAGGTAAGAGCAGAGGGGCCACTCAACTCCCTTTTTAGCAATTTCAAGGTTAGATTACAAGCTCCCAATTAGACAAAATTTTGTATCTATTTTCTGAAGCATTTCCATTTTTGCAAGTGATCAATTTTTATATCATAGTCAAATCACCGTGAGACCTAGTCCATTTTATTTTGCTTGGGACTTGTCGTGCCTTTATAGAGAACTTTGTCTTGCAGACGAGGACTCGAGGGATCAAGTTGGGCGATTAATGGCGCGATACACGCAATTAGTCGCGAACACCCGCGCAAATTAATCGCGCCGCTTTGCGGACGGCGATTGTACCAGTTGGTCGACGCTTGCGTCGTAACGTTGTTGCTTGGCATGTTACTCCTGTCGCGGAACTAAAGTTCCTAGATAGAGGAATTAGGCAAACTAATATGAACACCTGCAATGATGGAGTCTAACTGCATCAGCATTAATATTCACAATCTGTATGTTCGTGACAGATACTTATAACTTTTTATTATATTCTCAATCAGTTTTACAATGACTATTGCGCATGATATGGTATTATATTGTGAAACAAAACTGTTGCTTACGATGTACTATAAATAGCTGCAAAATATGTTTAGAGAACTTCACAGGGATTTTTTATATTGGATTCCAGATGATTTTATACGTACAATAATATAATACCGAAGCAACCTCTAAAATTATGAATACAGATTCATAATTCAATTTCTGAATGATATAACACGATTACGTGGTCACGAGATTGACAGATGTCATTGGTTACCTAAGTATTAAGTGTTTCTCAGGATATTTTTTTACAGAGGTGAATTTATGTAAAGTCTTTTAATTTTGAGAATATTTTAGGATGAAAGCTTCCTATAGAGAACAAGTGATCTCTCAAACATTCCTGTCTGAAATGAATTGAAAAAATTATCAAATGTATCTTACAGGATACTTATAATATTTCCAAAGTTAAACAAAAATCAAGTACATTCTTCTCTGTGAAAAAAAATCACGACCAGCTCTTAATGTTTGGTCTCCTAATGCGGTGTCTTTTCTTAACTCTATACTGCCAGGACTAAACCTAATCAGGGTTCCATCAAAAGTATTTCCTTTCCCGAAAACACAGTGTCTCAAAACCTTCCTCCTAATTCAAACAATAAACCCATCGTTCCTCACTTTTTGCCTAGCCTCGACCTGTAGAATCACCTCCTAAAATATTTACCACTGTTGGATAAACATCCCCAAACCCTCCTGTACGTCATCCTACCGTAGTTCGGATAAGGGAGTTTCCGCCCGTACGTCTCGACACGTTTTATCGATTGGAGCTCCCGCCATCTCGGTTGGGGAGCACAGAAACAACAAGAAGACTTCCGTCCCGCGTTGTTTCGCGGAGACGCGTTCTCGTGGAAAGAAGCACAGCTGACAGAGAGCACAGAGGGGGGCGGCCAAGGGTAGAGGAAGGAAAGTGGCGGAGGGGTGGTTGGAGGTAGGCAATTTCTGCACTCCCTCGTTCGGGCCCGGTTCGCAACAATGCGAATGTCGCGTTACATTGTCGCAGAGCGGCCGTATCGATCGCATCCGGTGGAGGGCAACGTGTGCCATCGAAGGCTAACTGTCGCGTGTCCTGTCGCGTGGACAGCGGCAATAAAAAAAAAAGAAAAAACGAAAAAGTGGGAACGGTTGCGTGGTTAGTTTCTCGCGACGCGAAGTTGGAATTCTGAGTCGAGGAGCTTTGAGAACGTTTGTGCAAGGGGAGGGTCGAAAGAAAAGAAAGGGTTGGAGGATGTTGGGATGGGTTTGCAGACTTCTTGGACTGATGTATTGTGGAGACTAATTTAAGTAAGGTAACATTTGTTAGGATAAGAGTTCAACTTCTACCTTAATTATTGCATGGTATCAACACCGTTTGTCCAGAGAAAGGGTAAAAATAAAACGAAGCGTTAGAACGCGTTGGATTGAGTTTGCGAGGGCTCCTTGAGCAACCAATATTGCGGAGACCAACTACCAATTAATTCTCAGTATCCATCAGCACCGTTTTCATCAATAACCCCCGTACTCACGCATTGACAAACTTCGACGACATCGCGAGTATGGCGGAAGTACTTGTTCCGAGCGCGCAACAGATACCCCCCATGCGATACTGTATAGAAACCTTCTTACCCCTTGTCTGAGTCGGTTTCTCGTTAACAGTGGCACATGGTGGGGACCAGCTGGCGTGCTCCATCACCAGGAAATGAAACGGGCGCACCGGTTCCGTGTGATTCACGAACTGAAATATTCATGGCGAGAGACCGGAGACCCAGCCAGCCGGTTCCGCCATCGGACGGGGAGGGAAGAAATGTTATGGTATCGGTTGGCCCTTTAATTTTCGTCGCCTCAGCGTTCCGTTCCGCTTGAGAGAATACTCGAGGATAATTAAGGGGCCGTCGGTTCCGCGGCTCAGCTGGCCATTGTTTCCGTCGATCCTGTCGACGATTGTTCGGAATGCGACACACAGCGAATCGGAGCGAACCGCGATATTAATTTCCCCGACGTCCTGCGACCTGACGCGCAATTAAGGGGTCTTTGGAGAAATTCAATTCCTCCTTTCTATTTTCTGAAATTGTGGTTGGGATACGTCTGTGAAATAGCGCTGATTAAATGTTACTTCCAAGGGAGGTTGGATCAAACTGCCCTGAATACTTCTCACTCCCTGAACACATCCAAAATTTCATATAAACATGAACCTAAGCCCTTAAAAAATCACCCCCTAACCGAACCACGTCATTTCTGTGCAGGTTACACGCACGAGTCATGGATCAACCACGAGGAGCCACCGAAGTACGCGACCCTGCGCTCGGCAGCGGAGCTGGCCCAGCCGGTGGTACCGTCGCCGCCCCCGCCAGCTGCGCCCCAAGAGTTGCCAGCGGTGGTGAACAGTTCCAGCCTACACCAGCAACACCAAGCCCCGACGACGACGCCCTCGTCCTCCGCGTCGTTGACCCTGCCGCCCAGGAAGAGCCTGTCCATGTGCTTTACCAGCACGGGCACGGCGCTCTCTCTACCGCCCAAGAAGAAGGACATCTATCGGCCTTACAGCCTCCAGCCGACCTCGGAGATCCGTACAGCAGCCGAAGAGGACTTGTCGGCAGCCCAGGCGATCCTCGACCTCAGCGCGTCCCCAGCTGCGCCCACGCACTCGGTGTTCATTCACACTTTGTCACCGCCGCCGCCGCCGCCTCAGCAAACAGCCCCGAGCGTCGCGGCGGCTAGTCAGCTGCAGTCGGCGCAGCTGCAATCGGTGCCTACCGCCCAGCCCATACCTGTATCTGTGTTGGTCCCCGTGCCCAGCTCCCAGAATAGTCAGTTGCGACAACAGGAGCAGTCCCAGCAACCCCAATCGCCGGCCACTGCCGAGGCCAACGCGAACAACGCCAGCGGCAGGGACGGGTGAGTATCGAGCACGACGGAATCGTCGATTCGACGATAAACGGGATTGCTGGTGTTAAAGGAGGGAGGGGTCCTTGCACGCTGATTGCGACCAGGGGAGAGAGACGTATGGAAAGGTGCGATGGATGAATGAGTACGCAGTTCGACGTCGCAGGACTGCTTTTGTGTGGGATCGGTTGTCGGGGGTGTCTTGTTTGGTAGCGATCGATGATGCGTTGATATGTAGTTCAAATAGTGGATAGGTGTACGAGGCTTTCTTTGGTGAGGGTGAATGAGGGTGTCTCGTATGGGGTGAGGTTGAGGTGGAAGGGAAAGGGGATTTTTTTAAATGAAGGGATTTTGTAGATAGTGGATATATAGGGAAGAAAGCTGTACTTCTTTCAGGAATGATAGTTTCCGGTTGATCGTAGAGTTTTCTTTGTGTTATCAAGAATAATCCTTGAAACGGACGTCTATCCTCTGTGTTCAAGGATAGGAAATGTATCCAGTGTGTTTAGATTGAGGATAGGGGTTATACAATGTAAAATTGTATACACAATTGTATAAACAATTGTATAAACAATTGTATACAATTGTATAATGTAAACCTGTATACCTAGCATATCTAGTCCAACTACTGTACGAATCGACTTCTTAGCTTCCATTCTCAATCTGACCACCCTTGAACGACTTCTCTCCCCTCCCCCTAAACCACCAACCCATTTTATCCCCCCGAACAAACACTATTCCAACAACTCCACCAACCAATCACCATTCTCCCTGTCCAACAGCGCCAACGGCAGCACGAAGACGGTCGCCTACACGTACGAGGCGTTCTTCGTGTCCGATGGCCGGTCGAAGCGTCGCAGCAGCAGCACGAACGGCGCCGCGGTGCCCGAGAAGGAGGCCACCCAGCCCGACAGGCCCAAGTTCACCTGCACCGAGTGCGGCAAGCAGTATGCCACCTCGTCGAACCTGTCCAGACACAAGCAAACGCACCGCAGCCTCGACTCTCAATCGGCGAAGAAGTGCATCCACTGCGGGAAGGCGTACGTCAGCATGCCCGCCCTGGCGATGCACGTGCTCACCCACAAACTAGCCCACAGTTGCGGGGTCTGCGGCAAGATGTTCTCGCGGCCTTGGCTGCTCCAAGGTCACCTGAGGAGCCACACGGGCGAGAAGCCTTACGGCTGCGCGCACTGCGGCAAAGCGTTCGCCGATCGCTCGAATCTGCGCGCCCACATGCAGACCCACTCGGCCGACAAGAACTACGAGTGCTCCCGTTGCCACAAGACCTTCGCGCTCAAGTCCTACCTGAACAAGCACCTGGAGTCCGCCTGTCTGCGCGACGACGAGACGCCTCAGCAGCAACCAGTCGCTGTTGTCGCCAACAACGCGACGCCCCACCAGCAGTCAGGAAACCGCGATTTGTAGCAGCGCTTCGACGACGCGAAGACGACGACCAGGCGTCCCGACGCCCTCGCCGAGATGATTAGGGAGAGCTAGCGGTCGTTCCCGGCGACGCCAGGCTAACCGGGGACGGGACGGGATTTGGCGATGGTGGATGATGCGAAAACTGAGAGGGAAAGGGAGAGAAAAAAAGGTTTGCAGTAGGTTTTAAGTAGAAAAGTGCCAGTAGAGAATGGGAGTAGGTAGAGAGGTGTTAACCGGTAAGATAAGACAAATGGTAGACGAGGAACGACGATGAGAAGAGAGAGAGAGAGAGAGAGAGAGAGAGAGAGAGAGAGAGAGAGGAGGAGGTATCGGTTTCTTAAATAATGTCTAACATTAATAAAAACGTCCAGTAATGTTTAAGTCTTACAAAAGATTAAAAAAAAAATTGACGACGAAGATGATGAACAAAATACGCAAAACGAGAGTGTAACGAGAACAAAAAAAAAAATAAGGAACACGTCGAACGGTGACGTCCACACTGCAGTCTAGTCACTCTAGTCGATTATACCTATTACATTATGATATTATATTATTATATTATATATATTATATTATTATTATATATATATAGTATATTTACTAGCGCGTACGGTTCTAGTCGCGAGCTAGTTACGGAGACACTATTTATTAATACTTAGCTGCCTAAACGAAAGAAGTAAACTAATATTAACTCTCCATGGATGAAAGAGAGCAATGGGGGATATTCACCGCGATGACGGACTCGAGGTACAATAACGACGTGCTAGGGGACGTGATCTCCAGTCGGTTTTCGATTCTGTCTCATCCAAGGACAACGATTACTTTTGTAATCGTCACACACGGTCATCGGTTCGATCAGCGATCGATACACCTCTTCAGAAGCGATCCTGTCTGAGTATTCATTAATTACTCATGGTTACCCATTATCGATCGTTAATCCCGATCACTGATCACTTGCATCGTAATCGTGGATTACAGTCCGCCTAAAGTTTACTTGGGGGAATCGAATCCCGTCCAGAGATCGATCTTCCAGGCTGGGACGCGCAATCCTGACCAGTGGGCTTCGTCCCTCTTCCCAAACGCCTTCGAACAGCTGTCTCTTGAAGGAGACACGACGACCCCCTTGCATGTTCCTCTTCGATGGCTCCAAGTCGAGCCAAATTATACTCGACCAGGGGTCGATTCGCGGACGATCGACGTCCCCATCGATCGGAGCCCTCGGTCCAGGTCTGTGCGTCCTTTTGGTGAGACTGCATGCTGCTTACGCGTGTAACGCCATCTTGGTCTTCTGGTTTTTGAGAGTTTTATCATTTAGGAAAGTATGATGGGTGAGCGAGAGTTCTGGAGGCGTTGACCTCTAAGTTGATAGCCAGGTGAAGGTAGGAGTTATGAAAGGTGTGGTCTGAATCTTGCCATTCTAAATGAGGGTCTGTGAAATTCAAGATATCAGTCTGAAAGGAGTGGGGATCGTGGATGGTGGTGCAAGTGGGGAGTTTCTTATAAAGAGGTACTCATTTTTATTGGGTATTGTTTTTCTTATTTTTACTGAAAATTATTGGGAAGCTCTGTTGATATATAAATCACTCTTTAGATGATTTTATGTTGATTGATAATCATGACACCTTAAATTAAATTTTCCTTGAGAAAAATCTAAGTCAAGAAGCCATATGAAATCAAGATGGCTCCTCTGGCCACCCTCTTCTCAGTAAAATTCACATTGTAATCCACATTGTACCCATTACGAATATTTACCAAAGCTTCATAATTTTCACCAAGACAATATTTCAAACAGAAAATATCATCTTTCTGTTTCATGGGTCATCCCTGACTCATACCCATATAGCTCATCAACAAGAATTTTCCTTTTCCTCCATTTATTTTCTTTTTTCTTCTCCAGTGGCGTTACACGGTTGGTCGCATGAGAGCTCCAATGCAAAAAGGAAAATTCAAGACGCGTACACGTACCACCCACACACGAACAGAAACCGACACGTAGGACGAACAGTCATACACACATACACGCGCGCGTACACGTATATTTAGAGCAGATTCGATTAATGAATGCGTAACATTGTTATACACATATTTTATAGAAGCAATATAACGAGTAAGGGAATAATTAACATAAAAAAAAAAGTAATAATGACGACGCCGTACGGTCAAAAGCAATATTTCGACACAACGAATTATATAAGTATACATTTAGAGGCGAACATCGAAGTTTAACGTGATGGATAACGATGATTCGCTTCGGCATCGAACTTTCTCGATCGTCACGCCACCACGCTCTTCCATTTTGTCGTGATCCGTGCTCCAAAATGGCGCTAGCAGCGTTTCGTCGACTTCGTTGACTTTCACTTCTTTATAAACGTTTAGAGCCGATCGTTTAACGTTTACGTTTACTTGCATAGAATGTAAATTGTGGATGTTGATATAGAATATTAAAAGTGAAGATTTAGAAGCAAAAGGAAGCCATAAGTATGTGTTAATTGATGATGCTTCGCGATGATTCTAGTCGGAGCTCAACCAAGAGATAAATTAATCTTTCTTGTCGCTTCAACGTTTACAATACTCGTTTGCCTAATCTTTGGAGAATTATACAACGAATCTTAGTTAGACAATACTTGAAAATGCTTTAAGTGAATGTGGTTATATGTTATAGCGAAGAAGTTCAGAATTCGTATCAAATAGTGCAAAATTTAATCGCATAAGCATATTACTCGCTCTGTAGTAACCCAGTGGCGCTCCTATTTTCAAATATATTTTTTCTAACGAATAAGACTTTGGAACCAAGTAGAACACGCCACATTTTTGGTTGTGAATTTTTTAGTGAAACTGAGTCGTGTTTAACTCTTTCGGTGTTAAGACGTTCGCTGAGACACCAATGATTTTCTAGTCCATGTTCGAATAGAAAATAAAATATTCTGAATACTCGGTTGGAGCTATCTAATACATTTCATCTGTGCGTAGATAAATACATGGAATGCAATAAATAATACCTACTACGAATTTAGGATGGTTTTTCGAAACACTGGAAACATTATAAACGTCTACAGCACCGAGTGGGTTAAAATTCGATCTTCGTGATTGTGCCATAATGTTAGTACAAAATTGGTCCGTCGAAGGGCACGATAACCAACGAAAATATATTTCCAGACAACGACGTGTAAGAGACACCAAAATCCCGCTCAAGAACACGACCTCTGTTCGACCAATTCAAAAAGCAACGATTAGGTTATTACGAATATTTGGAAATCATGCATTAGAGCAGCGTTTTTCAAACCTATTTGCAAGTTTTTATTTTATTTACTCCATTTTGCAACCTATGCATACAAGCTGTTTACAAAATAAACACAAAGAAAAAAAACACGAAAGTGCAAACAAGTAAAGTGCAGCCCCCCAATGTTGTCACAAGAATCAAATCTCGGTCGAACCCCAACAAACCACAACAGCAGGTAACCATACCATAAATATATTGTTCAAATAAAAAATTACCACGATTATAAGAGTTTGGGAAACGCTGTATTAGGCTAATAAAAGAAAGAAAGAAAAAAAAAGTGGCTGCAACGAGTCGCGAATCGAGAACAAGGCCAGAGAAAGAGCACGGATTGGTCGTCATTTTGCGGAGAGCTGGACGCGACGATCCGACAAGTCCTTTTATAATAATTATTGCCGACAAATAATTACCGTGTTGCATGTACAGAGTAGCCGACCTCACCGCCAAAATAACAGACATATATATAAAGAAAAGAACAAAAAAAAAAAAAGAAAGGAGAAGAAGTGTGCAAGAAAACGAGAAAAAAATAACCGAACGCGCGCAGGATCCTTGCGCAAGTCCCGCGCGATTGGACCGCGGTGAGCGAAACGATCCCAAAACGGCTTATCCCGGTCCTGTCATTGGTGACGTTTGTTTCACGAGTTTTCTTCGCGTTGTGTGCGATAGCACTGTCGCGTACGTACGTAGAGCAATAAAACCCTAAGCAATATTAATTAATTCATTAATTGATTAACGAATAAATTAGTTAGTCGGCATGGGTAGAAAGAGAAAGAGAGAGAGTGTGCGTGCGAAAGAGAACAAGAAACGTTGATAGGGGAGTAGAACGAAAAATAAAAATAACGAACAAGAAGGTAAAACAACGTAGAAACAAACAAACGAAGTGCACCGTTTGACGCGTGTCTGTTAATTTACTATACGGCAGTGTTGGGCAGCGATTACTTTTGCATTAATCAGTCACGATTGTCCGATTGATCGGTATGGACTTTGGATGGCGTAAATTAATACATTTTTATCATGAAAATCATACAGTGGTGAATTGTACTATTTCAGAGTGAATCGTTTTCCATTATTTGTCGATTGGGCGATCATGATTATCGATTAATCACGATTATCGATAGCTGGGTAATCGTAAGCATGCTTCAACACTGGTAAACGGCCTATGATCACGAATCGAGGGTGGGTGGCGAATCGAAGCGACCCCTGGATGCTTTTCGTCTGCGGATCGATCGACTACGCCACCCCCTACCGGTTCGTTCACTTCGTTTTTGAGAACACCACTACCACCGACCGCTCTGTCTCGGTTCTTAGCTACGGATTCATTGTTCTTAAAATTTTACAACCTTGTACAGTATTTAATTTCCTTTATTTGCGAATTGTTGTCAGTATTATTATTATTATCATTAATAATGGTTGCAGCATCATCGTAATTTATTACTGTCATCGGTATTTATTATATTTATTATTATTATTATTATTATTAACACGTTGTGTACTTTATTTATCCTTATATCGGTTCACCTTGGTGCCTCGCGACACCATCGTTAATAGGTCTGTGGATCTTGTTCATTTATAGAGTATAAAGGTACGAGAAACGTAGGCTAAACTTGAGTAGAATATATACACATGTGCAAAATGTGTGAAATATTAATATTATTATATTGACTTGTGTATTATATATTCTACGCGTGGTTTGCATAGTTTCTCTGTATTAATCATCTGTATCCGCACGTGATTGTGAAGTCACGCACTCATAAACAATTGGACAAATCACTAGAAATTTGAATTTCTACAAATTATTCTTTGAAAAACTTCGTATTCCACTAAGACGAAAAAAGGTCCGTTTAAAATTCGTCCTTCAAGAGGTTAAATTTGCGTATGATAATAATTCCATAATTAGAATTTCTGAATGGGCTCTATTATATCATTTTTTCGTAAGCCGTAATTTGGGTTACAGTGTTAACGTACACTATAAATGCATAATATCCACAATCTAATTATCTTCATCTTATTATTATTATTCACGTTATTATTATTATTATCACTGATGGTAAGGTAATATAAATTTCGTTACTGCATTTATTAGCGGAGGTTATTATTGTGCTGATACAACGACCGACTACAACGATCGGTTATCACATCGAAGAATATTAACGAAAACACGTGCAATTTCCGTTTTCCGCGATCAGCAGGAGAAAACAAATGGAACGCCGCATCCAGGTGCACGATAAGGCTGCTTTATTATACTAGTCTCGCGTGTACAGTCGATATAATTGAACTTCCGGAAATACTCATAGCGTACACGTACTACTAACACATTCTTATACACACGCCAAATATATTGGTACGCGTAGATTGTAATTTTCGCGGTATGAGAAAGACGGAGAGAGAAGGCGGGCTTAAAAAGCTCGGAAACCTGTCTGGAAATTTCGTTTCACGACTTGAGCTTCTCCAGCTACATCCAGGGACAATTATCGAATCGATTCCAATGTATTTTTATTAAAAACAAATAATAATTCGTGTGCGATCGTCATTTTTTTTTTATAAATTTGAGACAATTAGATTCGTTCAATTGGCAATTGACTTTTAACTGGGGTGACTCGAAAGTTAATACAGCTGGAAACGAGTCCTCTAATTGTATTTTGAGGTTGTTACTTATAAAGATGGCAGTCTGGTACCTTGAGGTCGATAATTTCTTTTAATAAAAAGAAATAGCTGTGTCAAAAAAGAAAATTAGTAGGAACATCCCTCTCTAAAGGTTGGTCCACTTAGTGCTTACCCAACACTGACAAAGAAATTTCAATTTGAAATCCTGTATCATTCCCAATTCTTCGAATTTCTCCAATCTTTTCAGAACAATTCCTTAAATCCTAAAATTTTTATGAAAATATCCCTAAAAACCGTTTTTTTTTTTTAAATCTGAAATTGTCAGACTGCCTTCATAGTGTCTTTCGATTGGAACTCAGTTGGACAAGCTGTTGATTCCCAATTAAATCGGTCGACGAAGGGAAAACGATTCGAAGCAAATGCAAATATTCGCAGAAGTGGCATCACTGGTTGCGATCAGAGTTCGTTACCAGGAATTGCGCCCATTCGCTAGGAAGCCCCACGGACAATTAAAGTGCTCTAACTGACCAGCCACCGAGACCATTCCACGTTCGTCCCAACTTCGCGGCATTATTAACGTTCGAAACGAACCTGTTCCCCAATTCTCCAAATAATTAAAAAGCTTTTTTCCCATCCCATCAGCGTGGAGCCAGCGACACCTAATTTCGAATACATGGGTCGGACACCAGTTTGCCCTCAATTGCTGCACGATGTGAATCACAGATGCAAAAACGTGGCAGAAATTCGGTAGTTCTATTTTTTTATTATGTTGACAAACGTGTTATTTAGTCAAGTAGTTGTGGAAGTACGTGTGCAAAGAAGGTTTCGCACTTGACAAAAGTGCACACGTCTTACGATTTGTATCGTGTAGCAGTCGTGTACCAAATAGTCTCCTGCGCATCAACCTTGCGGACAAGCGCTATTTGGTTGACTCATTTCTCCACTACCAGCGTTTGAGTCCCTTTAGTGTTTTAATGACCCTAAATATACACCCTAACATCCTCTCTATCTCGATAAACTGATCCAACCCTCCTAAAAATGTTGAACTTCGAGTCGAAAACGAGATTTCCAGAGAAGCCTTAACGAAAACGATATTTTAACAAAAGTACGAACTTCCCTCTGCAGCCAATCCTTCTCGGGGACGAGTTCACTCGTCTTACCTAGTCGAAGACGCGTGTATCTTGAACGATATATATATATTCTGTACATACACAGGTACGCATGTATAAACGTAAGCATATGTATAAAGACCTTCCTAGTAAGTACACGTAAGGAGACACTTGACACTTAACCGCGCGGACACAACCACGTACGTTAGATCTATTACTCTCGTAACTCGTAACTAATCTAATCTTCCTCTAATTAAGCGGCCGTTCATCGTGCTCGCTTACCTGTCGACATAACTTCTTGCTCGAAATGTTTACGTCGGAGCTGTCCAATTGGTCAGAGCCATGATTCTCCGTTCGCTGAAACAGCAACAGAAACGTTGCGTCGATTGATTATTCCGTAAAAGTCCCCTTGGATCGCTAAACCTTGTTTTAAAATGAAAATCTTTGTCCAAGAGGATCGATCACACGGATATATAGTGCGTTATGGAACAAATATAGAGTTCTTTTAATTAAATAATATTATTCTTATTGAGGGGAGAGATTCAACGCAAAGAAAATATTAGGTATATACATTTGGGGGCTTTTATGACTCATCATACTTTTGCTTAATTAAATAACAAATTGGAAAAGTAATAATATATGGAAGCCACGTATTGCTACATGATTGAAACAGAGATTATACTGAGTTTATACGAGAGGATATGTTCAAGAATAATTATATCGATAATCGTTAGTCAAATACAGACTAATGAGTCAAAACAGTTGAGGACACATGTGCTCGAACCTTGGCGAACGTTCGTTTACGCATAACTCGTGGCACATGTGCCTTCGGTTGGCTTCTCGATCTGTACACGACTCGTTTAGTCCTCTTCAGTTATTCTCTACTGTTTCAATACACAAAAACGTATTTTTTAATAGCACTGATAACGTTAGAAGCAAGAGTGTCAAACTTAGCAATTTTTAAATTGAATTTAGTAATAGTAACCAGGCCTGCTATGTTAGTTCCACAGACTATATTATCAGTGTTTGTGCTAATCGTTGGACGCAACTGTTGCTGTTTCCAGCCTTCGTGTCTCCTCGACTGTCCGCGCTTGATTCCTTCTGCTCATTTCTCGAGCGTCTGTGCACTTTCGCGCATTTCTGTCCGCGGCTGGTACCTTCGCCGCGTCTACTTTCAATCACCTTCAAACTTTGCGTTCGAACAACGATCCACGTGATTGGAAATCGATCAACAAGCTCGTCGAGTCGGTGATGTCCCATATATTTCTAAAATTTCGTATTCGCTCAAATATTCGATCAAATATTAACCCAACAACTCTTATTATTCAAGACTCCTCTGGTTGGAGTTTGCCTCATTGTTTCTTTTATGTAAAAACGTTCTTTACCGTGCTTTAGGTATTGATAATTGAAATAAAAATGCTTGCAATAATAATAGCGAGGGCTACAAAATATAACCAAAGTAGTTCATTATGAATAGGAGGTTTCACTTTGATTCTACGACAGAAGAAATACGAACTTCTTTCCATCTAGTCTAAACAAATAGCAGGTGAAATTGTTTGAAGAAAATCGGAGTGGAATCGTTCTCCATCGACTGACCCATACCACCCGGCCAGTTTTCATAATCCCTAGCGATCAAGCTGATTGAGATCCCTTCGAAATTCTCCGCAGCCCACGTGTTATTTCCGTTTACACAACACGCTTGGATTGATCGGATTCCGATAATCGGCGGTCCAATTGGGAATCGCGTTTTTCGTCGACCTGCGTATGACGCACGATCGTCGATGAAACTTCCGGATGCCCACGGGAAGGGCAATTAATTTTAATTGGAAATCTCTCGACGAGCTTCCTCGATTTCCGATACGACGCCTCTTTCGAATGCGCCAGCGTAAACGACAACGAATCGCTCGGAAAAAAAATAATTCGCGTCTCTTGCAAGCGATCTATTCCTCGATGGGGGATTCTCTCGACCAAAGACTATACAATAGTTCGCCCTATCGCCGCGAACCCTCGACTTCGCCTGAACTTCGCTCTTTCGAACGCTTCTGATCGCTCCCGGTTAGCAAGACTACCGAGTCGATGATCGAATCATCCACGAGGCTCACGAAAATGTAATTTATGAACGTGACTGGTCTGGCTTTATGAGTGCTGTTTATCGAAAGTATTTTCCAACAAAGGGAAGGTTTACATATGCGAAAATTAATAATAACGGTGCGATTCTTTGGCTTGATGATTCTCAAATAACCAAAACTGAAGTGAACAATTCTCATGAGATACAAAGAAAAATAAGTGAACTAAATTTAATGTGTAAAACTCCTCTGTTTCTTAAAAAATATATTAACAAAAATTTCCTCCTAAGGATGCTGATTATTTTCGACAAAATAAACACATAGTCCCGAAACAGTTCTCAGTGCAATTCTAAATTACATGTTCGTAAGTCTTTACGTGTAATTGTTTCATATAAAAAAGAATCTGTGATTTCGTCGACGAATGAGTAGTCTTGCTAAATATAGGGAGCCACGACTATCTCGATCTTCTGCTGTAGTCTCGATATCTTCGCCTAATCTGCAGAGTTGATGGGAATTTGGGAGAAAAGTGATGTTAAGTGAACCTTGCCGTCAGACCGATGCAACGAACACCATGGGAACATTTGTTATCGCTGGAAGAGAATCGACTGGCTGCTCAAGGCAACGCAAAGTGTTTTTTTTTTTAATTTAAATAAAGACTAGTTGCAGCTAACAAGTGATTGAAACTTAATCTCTAACATATTCATACACTGTAACTAAATACTAAGGTCTTCAAATGGGGGACAATCTAATTCTTAGCTAGATAAAAATAGCTTTTTAAACAATTTGAATTATAAACGAAAATTAATGTAAAATATTGCCCATCTCTAATCCCATTGAGCAGCCAAATGATCTCGTTCCAACTTCAGTCACGCTTGAAAGTGAAGAAATAAAGGAGAAGGGATGAACGAGTGCCTAATCTACGCTATATAATAAGACACTGTTATAAAACACACATTCGAATGGCAGTCTGCTACACAATAATCTAACAACTAGATAAGAACAATAATTCGAATTGTTCTTATCTATACCAAAACTCGATGAGCGACATACATCTTACTGTATAAAATGTTTAAAGTAGTTGAAATTTTAAGAGGTGATTTTGGATACTAAAATGAGACGAAAGTTAAGTATGACAAAATGTGATTAGAGATTTCGTTTTGCCAGAAACAAAGAACATATGCTATTGCTGGGACTTCACTGTCAGCTGACGTACCACGCCCCAACATCTTCCACGCGCGCTTTCAACAATTAATAACTCGAATCCAAAGCTCCGAACGCAATTTTGATATTCTTGATTTTCGTCACATTTTAGAACCTAGAATCATCTTTCTCTTCCTTTCACAAATTCTATAACCTCGATATATGAACGTGCCATGTTATATAGTGTAGACGCTGAAAACTCGTGATGGAACGGTGCGATCCCTGTTGCATTTCAAGGACAAGACTCCCAGCCCCAATAGCGTGGTTCGTCGCATAGGGTGTCGCGTCCGAAAGTCGACGAGCGTTTTGTAATCCTTCCAACGAGAGCCTTGACAATTTTTTAACTATTCGTTAGTTGCCTTAGCGTAAACGAAGAGAGAGGAAGGGGGGAGATAGAGAAGTTATAAAAGAACGGTCCTCCGGTCCAATTTAAAGTGATCCCTAGCGCGTTATTACGCCAGTGTTTCTCGGCCTGCGTTCCCATGCAATTCAAGGTTTAACCCTTTGTTGTCCCATGCCGAGTGAGACTCGACAGAGCTGTGCTAAGATCAGAACATCTAGACTGCAAAGATTTAATTAAAAATCGAAGATTCGGTATTTTTCACACGCTGAACTATCATGGTTTCGAAGAAGAAATGATTGTTCGTTTCCTGAATCGCAGCAAGGAACACCGTAAGATCTCAGTTCTGGGCAGGAGGCGAGAAACATTAATGCGAACGCAACGACCACCGCGGCAGACCATTTTTACGCGACGACACGTTCCAGGACGAACTGGACACCCGTTGCACACGGCCCCCGCGACGCCATTAACGATTAGAGCGAGCCAAACATTTTTCCATTCCGATTCGGCAGAGATGGGCAACATTTATGTTGTTTTTATTTATTGAGTTAACCAAATATACAGAAAAAGTGGTTACAGAATATCTTAAGGAGCCGTTCATTAATTATGTAAGGGTCCTGAGGGAGAGGGGGGTTTAAAAAAATATCTACATGACTTTACTTTGGGGGAGAGTGAAGGTAGAAGCCGTTCTTAGATTTCCAAAGACTAGATCATTTTTATAAAAAAAAACAACGAATCTTTGACTTATGTCATGTAATAACGTGTTTTAGTGTAACTGCACCTTTTTTAACGACATTGAACTATTTAACACTTTTTAGGAAAATCTTATGAGGATCAAAAATGGCCAAAATTGTCCTTAAGCAATTAATGAACAGCTTTTAATCCCTACATTACCATCCATTATTCTTTCAAGCTGCTTGAGTTCGACCAGCGTCATGAAAAAAATTCTCTACCCCTGCCTCGAGTGTTGATAATCCACCACTGTGAAATTTTGCCCATCTCTGAGGCATCGTGGTTAATTGGGGAACGTCAATAGGCGCGTCTTTCGTCTCAATTTAATATAGCGATAGCGTTTAAATTAGTACACTGATATATATACGATATATTATTATACATAATATATTTTATATATTCCGACGAGAATGATAACAGATAAGGGAACCCCTAGCTTCGCCAACGTGACTTCCACGACACGTGACACGCATAGGAAACCGTACCTTCTCGTGTGTTGTTTTCGGCAGACTCGTTCGAACCGCGCTTCTTGGACCACACGGCGCCATTTTGTCGCGGGCACGAAATAGTCGAGTACCTTAGACTCCGTCGATGATAATAAAATGCGCTTAACGGCACCGACGTCACTTAGAGAACGATGTGTTCAGGATCTAGTTCTAGCGTTAAGTACGTACGCACCAAAGTAGCCACCCACAATTTTTCACAATCAAATTCAACGGATTACACGGACATTAATTTCCCCCAGTCTCGATTCAGCTTGCGACTGTCGTCGAGAATGCACGCACGATAATAACTGTTCGATCAAAAGGAAATGGCGACACCTTTGAATTGTTTAATAGTTTTGTTACTACTCCACAATGTTATTGAGATTTCTAGAATTTTAGGAGATCTTTTTCCTAAATTGTTTCCTCATTTAGAGGAACGTCACAAATTCTACCACTTGACAGAAATGTGAATAAAATTGAATAATTATTACTTGTTCAGGATCACGTATGATTGTCACAGAATATTAATCACGAGAGTGATAAAAGGTAGAGATACATCCACAGGATCTGAATACTCATACTTTTGCAATACATTAACTGTATGAATCATAATTGTTCAAACCAAAGTGAATCCAATATAAATTAATTTTGAAAATGGACCTAATAATACTACATACCTCGTACAGCATAACTGCCAGTTTTTAATACGTGACTTGATTTCCTCTTATTTCGAAAAAATCGCAGGTCACGTTCAAAATTCGCGACAAACGAATGCGAGCGTGGAATAATCGTGGCGAATATCAGATGTGTATCGCAGCAGCTCGACCGTTAAGTTTCTTACGTGCCTGCACATAGAAACGCGGCGTTAGTTGCGCGGTTACGTAAGTCTCTCATTCCTTGCAACCCTTGTGGCAGTGCTTCCCAATCTCGCCACAGGCTTAAGGTCCGTCCTTACGTGACATAAAATGTCACTTTTAATGCCGTGACTCGGAACGTCACGACATTTGTCATCGTCGAAACTTAAATGTCGCGGTGTCGCGACATTTCAGTCACAGATAAACGTACACGCGAAAACAGGCCTTTAGAGCAGGCCAAGATTCGTAAGATACACTTTTTCAAACAACAAAAAGATTATTTCATACTGTAAAGAAATTTTACGGTAGCTCAATAAATTAAAATCATAAAGTCACGAAGAGTTACGATATTCGAATAACAGACACATATAAAAATTAATTAAATTTAGGATTTAATGAGGTACTTAAAATCCTTTTCTTTGATGTAACTCTTTTATCTTCAGGCTATGTTATGCTTCATGTTGTTCTTCACAATAGCAAAACACACATAAACAATTGTTATTTCCGAAAATAATAATTTGAACCATAAAATGAAATACCTCGCTACAAGAAAATAAAAATGTAACTGCTCGACCGAAATAACGTCACCAGTAAATTTCTACGCGCTGGTTATATTCGTTGCTTAATATTCCAATAAAAATTCACGTAACAGTGTGGCACACCTGTTGAGAAGCACTGCCTTACGGTGCTCCAATTCCGTTTTCCGGTTGACGAAACCCCGAACAGAATATTTCAGAACAGCGACGCTGCCGTTACGAGTAATGCTTATTACGTTCCGCAAAAACAGTTTGTTTACGCTTCGGACACGCTCGTGGCAACTACATTTCGCAAACTGTATCAGGAAGTACTCGCGACGAGGCAACGCGTTGCTCACGACCTTTGCGTTAATTATGTAATACGATTAATATTTACACCTTCGTGTTGATCGATTGTGTTCGAGGAACGTCGACTTTTCCTAACGAGCGAGCAATAACGTCTAACATCCCAAGACAAGAATATATTATTGACACTTCTGATATACAATTTGTGTCCTCTATTAGGAATACATGGAAAATCCTTGCGTTTTCTATAAAATGCCGTAGGTTTGGATTAATGCGAGATCTATTAATAGTCTTGGCTCTTGTAGATTTTTTTTAGAGCTCTCCATTTAACCCAAATTTATTTTTAAAATATGATTAGTTAACTTATCCATGAGGTGCGTGCGTGCATTCTCCATCAAATCGAAAGTCGCCATAACGCGTATTATGCTCCAAGTTCCAAGCTAACAACGAAATAAAAGTCTTGTAGCAGCTGGAGACCGATTAGAGGGTGTCTAGTAGCAACGAACCGCCAAAACTCAATTCAGTTCCTCGCTCGTCGCGCCACTTGCAAAATTGTCCAGATTAAGCAATTAAGGCACACGCGTAGGGATGTTCGATTAGAATTAGGCTGAAAATTCAAAAGATTGTTTCTAGTTACCAACTATCTCTAACGTATAGAAATTTACAGGTTGTAATACTAAATCAAGCACCGTTAATTAGGCGCTGATTTAATACAAATAAATTAAAAAATAGTAAATATTGCAGATGGTTTGATAACATTCTGCTGGGTTCGTCGCTCAAGGGACAAATAATTTCATGGAACTTTTTCTTTAGAAACGCGTAGAAATCCCAGGGAAAATATTTATTTTACCACGAAACGGTGGAATAATGTTTACATTTCGCGAGTGGCCAGAATCAGGCACGAGAAAATCTATAGAATCAGAATCGATTCAGAATCGGGCATCCCTACTTCGACGTCGAACAAGCAGAGGGAAAAATAAATAGACCAGGCGAGAAATGGGGTAAAAATAAAAAGCTCGCGCAGTTGAAGCGTAACGCGGCAGAAAGGCATAAAAAGCGAAAACAAAAGATTCTATTATATTTTAACAACAGATGCAACGAAGGACGTGTTCGTTATATTTTGAAGGATACAACGAACGAGGGACAGTCGCGTAAACCCGATCGCTCACGCACATACTTGATGCATAAACATAATATAGTATATACACTTATACATCTACGATATTATATACATATATATATATATATATATATATACATAGAGAATTAACGAAACTCGACCTATGTATCGCTTAATACGGATTACTAACATTACCGCCATTTATCCGTCGTTACATCCATCCTTTCTTTTGATCGTGATTCGTTTCCCCCTTTGGTTCGCAGATTCACCGCGATCAAGTGTAAATATGAAAAAACGCATAGAGAACGATGTAACGTTGTAAAGAGTTAGTAGGGATTTAAACGGCAGTAGTGATATCGAAGGTGAAAACTTTAAAGCGTATAGAATATAATATATAAGAGTCACACTAGACGAGATGCACTATAAA